CAACGTGAGACCTTACGTATAGGCTCGAAGCCTCACCAGGTGAGTAAGGAAGGTCACTTCCTGGCAGGCACTGGAACCTCAGGATATCTTGGGGACCTCAAGATGAGAGGAATTAACCCAAATCTAAAGGTACTACAGGTGAAGTCTGATGACAAGTATTTGGCTTGGACTCTTAGCCTCAAGAGGCTATTAAAGGTTCAGTCTCAAGATTTCTTTTTGAAAGTTCCAGCAAAGCAGATTTAAAAGAGTCTATATAATCAATTGTTATACTTGATGCACTTATGTAGATAATTGGGCCAAGCTTACTAAAACTTGACTTAATTATAGAAAAACTAATTTGCTTGCAAAATGTGTTTGGTAAAAATTGGATAACTGCAGAGAGAGAAAAAACTATGTTTCAATAGAAGCTGTAATACACACTTATGGATATCAGTTCTGCTAATTGTCTTTAAGGTTTTGTTTTTGCCTGTAAACTGGATTAAATTTTGAATTCTTTTAGTTGGCTCAAGTATTTGGCTACAACTCTCCAAACTAACATTTCCAATTTTTCTTGGAATCATTGAGAACTAAAGCTGCCATTTTTCCGGAAGCCCTGCATACGGACTGGAAACAACTTGATATAAAGCCCACAGAAATCACCACAATTGCTCATGCTTGAACAATCTTCATGCCTGATGTTGTGTAAGCCACCTGAAAATTTACCTGAACAATGGATGACATCATCAGAGACCTTTCAAACTGCAAAAGATGCTTCAACTCTGACATCTACAATTTTTCTTGACTGGCTTCCCCTGTGGCTCAGAAACTGGTTTCTTACCCCTAACCTTTGTTTTTCTTTTGTTTCCACAGAAATGCCTCTTATTGAATACCTGATTGATAACATCCCAGGGCCCTTGACCTTTTCAGCTAGCTACACTCAAGCATTTCCTCCTACACAGGTTTATTCTCCAAATTCAGCTTAGCGTTTTGTTTGTCATTACAGAAGTTCTTGTTATAAAATTTTGTTTGCTTTACATAGCTTGATGTTGTAAAGGTGTCACTTGGATAATGACTGCTCAGAGTTTTGAGATAATTATTAAGGCCTATGAGACTTCATATGAAAAACCTCAAGGAACTGACTACAGAAGATGTTTGCCCTTAAAGAAACACGACAGTAAGACCTGCCTTTATTCTGGCACCCCCTCGTTGCTTAAATGTGGCTTAAGACTCCTAAAGAAACCACTTTCCCTTCTATATGGGACATGGTATACTGGAAATGAGCCTTCCCAGCAACAGATCAATGAAGCTTTCAACAACTGATCAATGTTGCTTTCCACTGGTCGATCAGCAATGCTTTCAAGGAAAGATCTCAGTTAAAATGGAGAAATAAGAAAAATAAAATAAATGGAGCCAACTCAAAATTAAGTCAGAGCCACCTTCCCAGAGAAAAGGCCACACACGTCTTGCTCCTTGAAACTTTGGACTGTTCGACTTTGACAAAATAACCTTTGGATTGGGCCAGAGCAGCCTTGTCTTCCAAACAACCATCTGTGGCGCTAACAGGAAAGCAGACTTCTTGATCACAAAGACTGGAGAGTCAAGGCCTTCTTTAGAATCAGTAAACAGCCACACAGAGCAACTGAATATCCTAGCTTATTAGCACCAGTGGAAATTCCTTCCACCTTCATGCAATTATTTCCCTTCCCTTTCTCATAAAAACCCTTGCCTTCGCATTTTATTTTTTAGGTTAACAATGTAACTGAGAATTGATATTATTATTAATATTTTAAAAAAACAGCAATATCTAAGGCCTCCATAGTGAATATGGTGTTTTTGTTGGTGAGCTGAACTCTAAACAGAGATCAGAAAATATTGAGAAAGGAAACTCAACCCAGGAGCAACTAAGAAGCGGCAGAAAGTAATAGAAAGAATAGATCTATCTCTGAGTCTTTAAATTCACTATGTGACCTTGGACAAGCCTCTTGAATACTCTGAAACTCTATAAAATAAAAGCATTTAGATAATCCCAATATTCCAGAATTCTGGTGTTTGATATTTTTTTAAAAAAAGAAACATTTACTCTAAGAACAATTTTGAGGAGGATCACCTCAAAAAGTAAAGATCACGTCTTCCCTATTTTGCAGCCAAATCCAACATTTAGTTACTTTGTTATCATTCTATTTTTTAGACTGTATCGCTGTTTGAAATTCTTCTCTCATTTTCTATTGTAGTGTATATTTTTATAATGTTTCCTTAGTAATTCCACACTAACATTTTTACTGTATCTTCATTTCTTTTTTATTCTTTCTCATATATCATTTGTTGCTTCATTAACAATCCCTGTCTCCCTCATTTACAAACTGTCTTTCCCACTGCCTTGCTTTGCGATAGGGTCTTTTGAAAACAGACTGGGCGAGAATGCCATAGGGGTGATGCTAGCATTTTTTTTACATTCAGTAAGGACTATACATTTTCAGTGTCACACATACTAAAATTCTGTTTTCTTCTGTATAAACATATATGTTAAAGTACCCATTCAGAACAACTAGAGAGAGAGACAGTATACTTTCTTGAGGGATGACAACCCCAAATCCTACCGAAAGACTGTGTCTTCTCCTTAAATTTATATACACCGCTTTGCACATTTCTCTGTCTTCTAATTTGACTATATTTCTTATTTTCTTTCATTTCATCTCCTTTTAGATCTTTTTTTAAAAGATTTTATTTATTTCTTTTTAGAGAAGGGGAAGGGAGGGAGGGAGAAAGAGAGAGAGAGAATCAATGTGTGGTTGCCTCTCACATGGCCCCCCCACTGGGGACCTGGCCTGCAACCCAGGCATGTGCCCTGACTGGGAATCAAACCTGCGATGCTTTGGTTTGCAGCCCGCATTCCATCCACTGAGCTACGCCAGCCAGGGCCTCATCTCCTTTTAGATCTTTAACCCTAACTTTCCAACCTCTTCATTTTCTCATTCTTCTCTCTTAAATAACATTGGCCCATACATATCCTTCCTACCTGTGTCCTCAAGTCGTCTCTCCACTACCAAGATACAGAGTTAGTCCTGGGTCCTTCCCTTGCTCTTTCACCCTCCACTTAGAATTGTCTTTCTTTCTCCTTTTGGCATCATCACTGTTTTTGAAAGGCCTCTGTGTTCCTGTAGTTGGTCATAATGGATTCAGGGGAACCCTCTTTATTACCCCCTATTCTGGGCTTTTTCTAATCACTCTTCCTGAAACAAAGATGTTTCTGCCCCAGGTCCCATTCTCACAAGGTGAACCTAACTTCATTTGATGTCCCAAAATAAACTGATAGCTTATGTATTCTCTTGCCCTAGGCACAAACATAAGGAAGAGGGGCTTTTTAGGGATTTTTGGCTTAATGAGAGTAATATACAGTATTAGAGCAAAAACCTTTTAGCATATCTAACTTCCATCTCTTAATATGCCATGTCCAGCAGAAATAGAAAAAAAAAGTCTATAGTAGAAAATTATTATATCAGCTATGTTACACATAAGGAAGAAACTTAGAGTTTCTAGGGATAAAATTTCTCAGTGAAGTATTTTATTCACCTGAGGGTTTTGTTTTTAAGTTTTAGGTAAAATGGAGTTGTAAGAAGAATAGAAAATTTCAGCATTCTGTTCATCAGCAATAATTGATACGTTTTCAGTTCCTCTATGCTTTTATTTTAAACTATTAAGTTTTCATCACTTAAGAACTTTATATAAATTTCTTTCTCTCTCCCACAACCCCTTCTTCTAGATTTCCTTTCATCATTACAGCAAATAAAATATGCCAACACATTGCCCCAAATCCCTCTATAATCAATTTGCCAGGTGTTTGGCACCATGTATAAAGCAATTTGAAATGCATTAGCACATTTGGTTCTCACTGCTCCATGAGATAGATGCTAGAGATCTCATGCCCATTTTAGAAAGGGGAAGGCCAGTGCTCAGGGAAATTGTGCTATGCTACTCAAGTCTTATAGCTGGTAGGGAGCAAAACCAAGAACCCAATTTATGATCTTAAATTCTACACACCAGATTCACAAAGGAGGGTTTGATCATTTACTTCTCCCTCTTAATATATACGTCAGAACACTTATGAAAGGACTCAGGCACTACAAGGAAACCTAGAATAAGATAAGGTGCAGAGATAAAATGTTGGTTTCTATGACACATACTATGTGCACAATATTTATATTATTCATGTAAGGCTGGGAATTACCACTCCAAAATGAAGTATATTGAGTGTCTCTTTGGATTTCTCCAGTTTTCAAACATCCTTCCCAGTATGTGGTAACTCATAAAAGCCAGTTCCTTTCTTGGTCTACCAGTACCCTATCTCATGAGGATCTAATAGCTAGGTTTATAATTTAAAAAGCAAACACGAATGTAAGAAGACAAATAAATATGTTGCAATGAGCAGAGTAGACAGACTGTAGCAGTAAAGTTAAGTGATTCATAAGACTCTGCAAGTATGGCACGCACATGGGCCCTTGCTTGGCATGTCTAGTAAATAATTTTTAGATAACTAAAATTTTGTAGGAGCTTTTCGACACCAACAGCCTTCAGACTATTTCTTTTCCATTTCTTACTTTTCAGCCAAGCTGTCTATTGCTTTTGGTTTTCAAGTATATTTCTCTCCTATGCGATTGTACTTTTCATCCAATACATTTCTTCATCTCATTTTTTAACTAAATTCATTAAGAAAACTTCTGAAAGCATCTTGGCCAGAAAGTTAGAATTCAACACTAGATCCAATTCCCCCTGCTAACAAGACACATCCTTTCCTTTGCCCAGGACATAGCCTGGTTTACTCTTGTACTGAAATCAAAGGCTGCTTTCGGGGCAAGTTGAGACCAGTGCCTTTAGCTGGAAGGCAGATGCAGGGATGATTTCTGACTATCTTATTTCCTGCTTTAAAAATTAAATTAAGACTCTTCTCTTTTTACCTCATTAGCATCATGTTTTATGATCGCCTGCAGCACCACCCCAAGCCCCGCTCCCTTATTTTCACTCACCGGCTGCCTTTTGACACCGAGCCAGTTCTTCCAAACCAAGACCCGGAGCTGGTGAAACTGGGAAGCCATCCTTCAAACACTCCAAACAACAGAAATTGTCTTTTTTACTCTACCCCTCAAAAAAAAAAAAGAATTGGTCCAACTTGCTGTTGACAAGGGGTCAGAAGCCTTTTCACGGCATAGCTTTCCTGGCACTTGGGGTAAGAAACCCACAATTCCCTGCCACGGATCTTCTTTTCCTGTGCAAGGATTGGCTTAATTCTTCACCAAGGAGCACTTCTCAACCAACTCTTCTTCCCAAATAAGGACCCAGACCAGGATCTTTCAGTGGCTTTTGCTTATTTTAAAATAACCTCCAGTTGCTGGTTGTTGTATGAAGTCCAGACTCAAAGAGAGAATGAATGTCATTGGGATAAAGCCTGACTGTAAAAAAAAAAAAAAAAGCTGAACCTACACCTCCTACTCTCCACGAAATTAACTGCCTGTCCACACCTTCAAGAAGGTGTCACCTGCGCTGAACACGTCATGAGGAATTAGGTGGGACTCTTGCCAGGCCAGTAGGACTTGTCCTAGTTTCTCTCGCCTACTTTACCACATAGTGCCTGTGCTGGCAGAGGCAGGACGTAAGGAGTATTTTACAGACTCTAGTCCAGTGACTTTTACAATATCTACAGTGTCATTAAGCTGTTTTAAGTCAATAAGACCAGAGCTAAGCTGAAAAGCTCCGAATATCAGTATATCATTAGATGTGCAGAGAAAGTCTCAAGCTCAGTTTAAAGCTGAGTTGAATATTTGGATTTCAGGGGAAGTGACTATGTGGGCTAGGTCCCACCTTCTATCACAATTTACTAGGTTAAGCAAAATGCAGAAGATAAAAGGTGGCAATAGGTGACATAAATAGCACACAATGGATTCCTCGTTTTGGAAGCATGAATTCCTGCATATGTTATAGAAAAGCTCTTTCAATCAGGTTAAAGGAAACATAGGCCCACCAGGTAATTTTAATAGTGATTAAGGGGATATGTAATGGAGAACCGTGGCATAAAGGCTTCCAGAAGTCACCTTGCTTACACACCTTAATGAAAGCCCATTCCCTCTAATATTTAATGCCTCTACCATCTGACTCCAGTCAATTTTCCAATCTCACCTCCCGACAGCATATTACAAGCACTTGACCACTTGCCAAACGGGTATGTATTACAATAGGCAAACATAATCTGTACCTTCTGGTCCCTGACTTGTTTATGCTACCTTCTCTATCTGCCCTCCCCCTCCCTAAACTGCTGCCTCTCAAAATTACTCCCAAGTTGACATCTTCTATGAAGTCTTTTTTTTGCTTTATTTTTATTGTTTACACTATTACAGATGTTCCCATTCCCTCCCTTTTCCCATTTCCCACCCTCTGACTCCACTTCCCACCCTCTGACTCCACTCCCCCCCTTCCCTCTGGCTATCACCATACTGTTGTCTGTGTCCGTGGGTCATGCCTATATGTTCTTGGCTATTCTCTTCACCTTCTTTCATCCAGTCCCCTGTCCCCATTCCCCTCTGGCAGCTTTTAGTCCATTCCATGTATCCATACCTCTGTTACTATTTTGTTCATCAGTTTATTTTGTTCATTAAATTCCACATATAAGTGAGATCATATTGTGTTTGTATTCTCTGACTGGCTTATGTCACTTAGCCTAATACTCTCCAGGTTCATCCATGCTGTCACAAAAGGTAAGAGTTTCTTCTTTTTTACAACCACATAGTTTTCCATTGTGTAAATGTACCAGACTTTTTTATCCACTCATCTGTTGATGGGCAGTTGGGTTGCTTCCATAGCTTGGCTATTGTAAATAACGCTGTTATAAACATGGGAGGGGAGGTTATATTCTCTTAAATTGGTGTTTTAGGATTCTTAGGATATGTTCCCAGAGGTGGGATTGGTGAGTCAAAAGTCAGTTTCATTTTTAATTTTTTGAAGAAACTCCACACTGTTTTCCACAGTGGCTGTACCAGTCTGCATTCCCACCAACAGTGCACAAGGGTTCCCTTTTTCCACATTTTCACCAGCACTAGTTGTTTATTGATTTATTGACAGTAGCCATTCTGGCAGGTGTGAGGTGATACTTCACTGTGGTTTTAATTTACATCTCTCTGATAATTAGTGACATTGAGCATCTTTTCATGTCTGTTGGCCATCTGGATGTCCTCTTTGGAGAAGTGTTGAATCAGGTCCCTTGCCCATTTTTTTAATTGGATTGTTTGTTTTCTTGGTGTTGGGTTGTATGGGTTCTTTATATACTTTAGAAATTAGCTGCTTGTAAGATGTATTATTGGTAAATATGCTCTCCCATACAGTGGGATCCCTTTTCATTTTGTTGATGGTTACTTTTGCTGTGCAGAAGCTTTTTATTTTGATGTAGTTAGAAAGAAGAACTAAGAAAACAATCCCATCTACTACTGCAACAAAAACAACAATAAGAAGAAAAATAAGGTACCTAGGAATAAATTTAACCACAGGGGTAAAAGGCCTGTACTCAGAAAACTATAGGACATTAAAGAAATAAATTGAGGAAGATACAAATAATTGGAAGCATATACCGTGTCCATGGATTGGAAAAATTAACATTAAAATGTCCATACTACCCAAAGCAACTTATAGATTCAACACAATTCCTATTAAAATTTCAATGGCATATTTCACAGATCTAAAACAAATATTCCATGAAGCCTTTTTAGATATACTGCAAGAACTATCTTCTCTCCTGCCTTTGAATCCAGTATAATTCTTTGTTTCTACCTATCTCAAGGAACTTAACATTTTTCCCTTATTGCTACTTTTGTATGTCTTATTTTCCCATTACATTGCAAATTCTTTGAGAGCCTAGACTATTTTATATGACAGTAATTCTTCATACATGATCAGTGCTCAATGATCACTCTGAGCCAAAGCTGGTAAAGCTCTCTTTCGATACACTTTTCCATCACTCTATTTGTGAAATCAGTTAAAACAATGTTTGAGTTCTCCCTTCACACCTGCAGCAAGTGCTCCCCTTCCTGGTCCCTCATGTTCAGCTTCCTGGTCTCCATGCCAACTCGGCAGTGTTGATGACAGCCAGCCTGGGGCTAAGTGGACCCATGCTGGCACATGCCCATTGCCTCAATGTGGTTCTTTCCCTACTGTAAAGACTCCATTCCTCATGAGGCAATATGTCCTGAATATCAAGAATTTGGCCTTTTAATTGTTTTCCAAACAAGGTTAAAGACACGGTGTTCTTCAGACAGCTGACAGTGTCAGAAATGCAGTGTCAAGATTCATCTGGCTTTCTCAAGCTTTGCTGAAGACTTGAACTCCTGCTTCCTCATCTCCTTTCTCTGCCATCTGGCACAGACTACAATTCACTAGTGGTTTGGCTCACAAATAAAAATTATTCAGTTATGAAGACAAGGTGGAATTTGACATGTGACTCTGTGTCTAGGTACATTACTGGCACACAGTCACTTTATTCAGGCAGGTTACTTCAGGTTAAAAAGTACTGACTCACCACACGATTGATGCAGGTCAGAGGTCAACTCAAAAAGTTCCAAATGGTTTCTCCCAGCATCTGCTCATCACCTCTCCACTATAATCATGGAGTGCTTTTGTTGTTGTTTATTTAATTTTGGTGAAAGATTTTTTCTCAGCCTGTGCTGAGAAAAGTGCCTGTGCTCAGGCACTTTCATCTACTACCTCAAATTTTCTGATGAAGATAATGTATTTTATTATATCTCATGACTGCCCAGAATTATTTCTGCAAAACAGTTTCAAAACTACACATTAAGTGGTTCATGTATGTAAGATTATTTTTGCACTATTCTTGAAGGCACACCGTGTCATAGCACCAAACATCACACTCTTTTCCTTGGAGACTGGGGTAATCTTTCACAAAATATCATTCAAAGTAGTTTAAATTGGGTATATAGACAATCAGAAGTCCAAATTTTGCCCTATTCTGAATAACTCTATCTTTAAATTAAATTTATTAGAGTAACTTATTAATAACATTATGTAAGTTTCAGGTGTTAAATTCTATAATACATCATCTGTGTATTGAATTCTGTGCTCACTACTCAAAGTCTAGTCTTCTCCTATTCTCATATATTTGACCCTCTTTGCTCTCTTAATCATCCCTTCAGCCCCTTTCAAACCCTCTGGAAACCACCATACTGTTGTCTGTGCCTCTGAGTCTGTTTTGCTGGCTCATTTGTTGCCTTCTGTTTTATACCTTGCATGTGAGAGAAATCATATGGTACTTGCACTTTTCTACATCTTGGCATCTATATTGACCATATCTGCTTCTGAGTTTTCTTTAAGGTTCTCAAATTTCTTTTAAAATTTGGTTTCAAGCTGATACATCTGATAAGGGGTTAATACCCAAAACTTACAAAGAACTTATAAAATTCAACACCAAAAAACCCCAAACAATCCAATTAAAAAATGGGCAAAGAACCTGAATAGATACTTCACCAAAGAGGACATCCAGATGGCCAACAGACATATGAAAATATGCTCAGTATCACTAATTACCAGAAAAATGCAAATTAAATCCACAATGAGATATCATCTCACACCTGTCAGAATGGTTATCATCAATAAATCAACAAACAACAAGTGCTGGTGAGGATGTGGAGAAAGGGGAACCCTTTTGCACTGTTGATAGGGATGTACATTTCTGTTTCCACTGTGGAAAGCAGCATGGAGATACCCCAAAAAATTAACAATGGATCTGCCTTTTGACTCAGTGATCCCACTTCTGGGGAATTATCCAAAAGGACCCAAAACACTAATTTGAAAGAACATAAGCACCCCTATGTCCACTGCAGCATTATTTACAATCACCAAGCTATGGAAGCAGCCCAAGAGTCCATCTGCAGATGAGTGGATAAAACAACTATGGGACATTTACACAATGGAATTCTACCCAGCTATAAAAAAGAAGAAAGTTTGACCTTTGTTACAGTGTGAATGAACCTGGAGAATATTATGCTAAGTGAAATAAGCCAGTCAGAGAAAGACAAATACCATATGATTTCACTCATATGTGGAATCTAATGAGCAAACTGAACTGACAAGCAAAATAGAAACAA